TCCTCCTCGGTAGGTCTGAAAACCTCGATCATTGCAGCATTGACGCCCGGCATACCGTATCCATGGTTGGCAATGAGCGGGCCGCGTTTCAGCTGCTCCTGGAACGCCTGAAGCGTGGTGACGTGTGACGCCATCAGATTCACGCTCATGTCAGTAGTCATGTTCTGGTGAGGCAGTCCGTCAACGGGTCGGTCGACGAAACACCCATCCACCGCTCCGCTGGGGACAAGGTCGAGGCAGGCGTGCATGAAGAGTTCCGAGACGGCTTCCTGCGTCGTATCATACACTAGCAGGTCTTTCGTGTTGTGGGCGCCAGCATTAATCTACACAAACCAATGCCATAACAAGAAACAATGCCACAAGAAGAAACAATGGGATTTGGGCCAGCTACAAAAAAACCTGACACCTCCAAATGAAGTACATGTACACTGCTCACAGTCATTATTACACCACCATACCCCCTCCCCAGCACTGTGCTACCACCATACCCCCTCCCCAGCACTGTGCTACCACCATACCCCCTCTCCAGCACTGTGCTGGCAAAGAATACTCAGTGTCTATCCAGTGAACAAAAAGTGGCACTGATCAATGACTGATCTCTTGGTTGCAAAGCAATGAACAGGTTCAGCATGAAACGTGTTGAAGACCTCACTCACCCCAACTTTGACGACATTGCCAAATTGATCATGAAGCCACCAGCTCTCGTTCTTGGCAAAGTTCTCGTGCAATCGATACTGTGGATAGTCCAGAACCATGTTGTAGTAGAAGATTCCTGTGATGTTTGGGTTGATCTTTTTCACAGATTTCAACGTATCCACAATGCGATCTTCCTCACAGCACACCCATTTCTCAGCAGGATAATGATATCCACTGTTGGGACCTTGATACTTCTCAATTGTGACAATTGGAAACTTGGCCATGATCTGTAATGCCTGGTCGTTGAATGGTCCAGTTGTGTTCGATGTATGAATGAACACAGGAACGTGGTCCCAGCTGAACTGAACATTGGGTGGCGGTGCATTAGGCAGAGCAGTAGCTGGTGGAGATTTACAATTTACGCCACTTGCCACGGTCAGATGCTTCTGACCGTGAACGAACTGCGGATTCCAGTAGTCATCCGTGCGCAAGTAGCAGTTGTTCGCTAGACCCTGGGTGGCATTCTCGAAGAAGAGTGTCCACGAATGGCATCTCGTGGTGCCGTTGACACAAGCACTCTGACATTGCTTCCACGTTTCTGTCTTTCCCGGGACTAGCACAATTCTCTTTCCGTCGGGCTGGTTGCTTGGATAAAGATTATCCCCGCTGATCACGAATTCGTCGAAACACATACCGCGTGCACCAATAGAATCAGTCAACAGCATTAGCAAAGGAAGCAATGCTATTGTCTGGATGCATCTCGAGTTTGAGATGGTCATGACTGCTGCTGCCGTTGTGGTTGCAATAACAAAAGGATGGGGGGGGGGGGGACGTGATTCACTGAGAGCGAGAGAGGGAGTCAAAACCGTTCCTCGAGCGTGCCCTTGCAGCCTTGGACATTGTCCTCGGTCTAAGTCGATTGCCAGCCGCTAGAAGTAATGAAATCCAGAAAAGTGTCAACCTTTCTTTTTACCGCAACCAAAATGTTCACCTTCGAAGGACAGACTCTGTGACTTGTGCACTTCGCTTCGCTATGGCTTTTTTCAATTCAAATGTCATGACTGTATAAATATGACGCAAATCATGCAAATATTGAAATAATATTTGCATGATTACTAGTACTATTATAGTATAGTAGGATCCAAAAACCGCCCGCGTACCGTACTCGCGCGATTAGAGCCCTCTCTTGAATAGTGCAGTGCAGTGCCGCATGCCTTAGAGCCAGTGAAAAAATAAAACCCTCTCTTGAATAGTGCCCCCCCCCCCCCCAGTTTGTAACCAAGAGCATGTGAAAGTAACATTAGTTTGTTCTTTTGGTAATGTTCTTGACCATGTCATTGCACTCGTGGTTTCAGGATCAAAATCGCAGTTCTTGTTGCCGTTTCTGTTGAGTCGTGATAGCAAGAGTTTGTAGTGACCTACTCACTGAGTATTACGTCATTCTACAAACGCATACGCAAGAAATAAAATCATTCTCTTTGGTCACAACTTCTTCGTTGTCCGGTTGGCCAAAGTAGCCGTCGTCTAGGGCCCGACGTAAAACCCTAAATTGGTGACCCCCGACGCTGCGCTCTTCGGAGTTTTGAACATGCCATCCCTGAGCTCGGCCCGCCGCAGTTTCCTGCTCGCCTCAACTCTCGGGATCCCGTCAATCGCCGGCTGTTGACGTAAAACTTGAGCCTCACCACCACTCGTCACTGGATCCGCCTCGGAGCTGCTGTGGCCCCTGCCACCCTCCCGGCCCACCTGGATACCCCGCTATCCTGCCACGGCACATCGTCCAGTCGTCTTCGTCCTGGCCTCAAGCTGGAAATTGGCCACCTCCACCCGTCGTACCAGCTCACTCACTGTGCACGCACGCAGGCACACGCCCGGCACCGGACCCCATGGAGCTGCGCTCGCCTCCATCTGTCCCCGCCTCACTTCGCATGCCTCGCATCAGTGCAGCGCTCCTGCTGGTATCCCGCCAAGCCTGCAACATGCAGCCGCCTCTGACATGATTATACTCCTCTGTCACGCGTACATTTCCTTTCTTTCCGCCTCTGACACGATAACACTCCTCTGTCACGCGTACATTTCCTCTTTTCTTTCTTTCTGCCTCTGACATGCTCTCCACCTCTGTCACGTTAACACACCTCTGACACGTTAACCCGCCTCTGTCATGCATTTCTCTCTTTCCTGCTTTTCTGATTTTTGTTTCGGCATTTGTGCCACGTTGTTTAACAAATTTCACACACGCAGCGCTCTCGCTTGTACATATGTATCATATTATTATATTTTTGCCTTTCCGCCTTGTACATGCTGCGCTTTCCTTTCTCTTCTCTTTCTTGTTTCTTGTTTATCGTGCTTCGCTCCTCTCGACCTCACCACTGGCGGGGGAGTACTGTAGTGACCTACTCACTGAGTATTACGTCATTCTACAAACGCATACGCAAGAAATAAAATCATTCTCTTTGGTCACAACTTCTTCGTTGTCCGGTTGGCCAAAGTAGCCGTCGTCTAGGGCCCGACGTAAAACCCTAAAAGTTCATAACCCCCAAGAGTGTGCAACTCCTGATCAGTCCCTGTATGGAAGCCCGCTCGGCGGAATTCCTTCATTGCGTCATTTTTGGTGCAGTGCGATGAGTCACGCCGATGAATTCTTCTAAAATTTACAGTCAAACCAGGATGCTTCCCCAGGGTAAACTGCCTAAAAACTGCGATTCTAGTCTGAGCCTCAAGAAGCAAAAGTGAAACAAAGCACACGATCCGATCCTAAAGACAAAACTATTTATTTTTTCGATGCAATGGTGACTCTTCATCGCCTTCTTCTTTCACCAGTGCAGTCAGTCTCTTCAAGAACAATTTCTTCCCCAGACCATCGGCATATTTCCGGTGCTTTCCTCGAGGATGATTTCAAATGGTTGAGGAACTTGAGAGAATACGTCGCAGGAGCATTTTTCGGCTGAGTTGCACAGCTATCAGAATGACTGTCCTCGGCGGCAATGCAATATTTTTTAACAGCGTCCTCACTTCTTCCTGTCGCGATGTTCATGGATTCTTGGAGAAAGAGTTCAAGTTGTTTTTGAGAAAGTACGACTTGTACGTCCGAAATGTCTACAAAAAAAGCTTCGAAAAGTCGAGGCTACAGCCTTGAGTTAGGAGCGGTTCAGGGTATAGTTTCCAGAAATCGCAAAGAACCCAAATTTACCTCGGATGACAAGCTGCGCATGACGTAATGTAGGAATTTCGCCGAGCGCTGGGTCTATGCCCGTTGCACACTCTTGGGGGTTATGAACTCTTGGTGATAGTTTACAGTCACCTTTGGCTCTGTTAGAATCTTTCGCTGGAGAAGAAATCTATTCGTATCTCTATTGGACAAATAACTGAATTCAATGGAATTGTGGTTAAGACAAACTTTTTGCTTTGTTTTATGCTGGATGATGCAAATGTACCAGCATTGAAAAAATAGACACTACTCCATAATCAAGCGTTATCATGCAGATCGAAGGCGGGAGGAAGATGAGGAGGAGGTCAGATCCACTAATCAGAGGCCAATCTACCCAAAGGCTGAAGTTCAGTTGTTGCATCCGTAGACCTACGTCATGCCTCCGGGTGCATGTTGCTTGGGAAACGTTTTTATTGTTGTGATGCAAGCATCACGGTTGGAAAAATTCTTCTGCTTCCAAGCTAGATCTGATCCTGATACATGTACATGACATTATGTACAGAAGTCAGAAGTCATACTTTTTTGTTTTGGACAATGTAAATATGCCATGCTTTGTGGACAATGTAAATATGCCATGCTTTGTGGACAATGTAAATATGCCATGCTTTGTGGACAATGTAAATATGCCATGCTTTGTGGACAATGTAAATATGCCATGCTTTGTGGACAATGTAAATATGCCATGCTTTGTGGACAATGTAAATATGCCATGCTTTGTGGACAGAAGACTGTAACACTGAGAGTGCAAGTCATGTACTTGCAGCACTCAACATGCACAACAACACAAGTAACTCCTCAGTCAATAGTGCAGTGAAACCTGTCTAAGGCGAGAGCGCACAAGGAGCCACGATTCAAAATGTGCTGGCGGTGCACAGGTGGTCTCCGTATCCAGTGTCATTGGACTCGAAATGCGCGTGGGCCTAGTTGTAGTGGTCTTCTGGGACAGGTGGTCACCTCGACAGGGTTTACTGTGCTAGTGCTAGTAGATCAGGCTACTAGCCTGAGTAGTCATGCAAGAATATCATGTAATACAGTCACCATGAATATGCTTAACCCACACTGTCTTTCTTTCAAAGTCGGTGTCTCAGTCAGTGTGTCTACTCAGTACACCTTTGCCACAAGTCACAGCTGTCCGATCACAACAACGCTGTGACAGTGAGTTTTTTAAACTGCAGTTTGGTACAGAATGACGGTTTCAGAGACCTCAAGGTGAAGCACATTGGTAACAGTGCATCCATATGCATGTACATACCCATGATACCCATACAATAAGAAGGCTCACTGTGTGCATGGGCCTCCCTTCAATGCGTGCACAGTGAGAAAACTACGTGCATGAATGCACACATTCACACGACGTTTTCGACGGTATTGCTGCTACTATTGCAACAGTTTAGCATAGTTGCAAATGACAACGACAATAGCGAACAGCATTGTATTGTCCTTCAGATCATGATCAACTGGTTGCTGACCCATTCTGCTGTGTTAGAGATTCACTTTTCGCCCAGTGAATTTCACCTTTGTTTGTAGAACAGTCGAACTGAACAGTTGTACCACTGGCAAAGTCCCTCTTGTAAACCAGTTCTGTCTTAACAGCACGACCCGTTGGGGGACCCAGCGGTTTCTCATAGGACGTCTTCCACTGGTAGTCAATGGATAGTGCACTCGTGAACCAGGAGCCACAGCCAAAGTAGGAGTAATTACCTGCTCCGATAAGGAACGCCGCTAGGTAATCCTGGATGCCTTCGTCTGACTCGCAGCCATGCTCTGAAATCATGTGCGCTTCGACGAGTTTTCCGCGATCTGCACACCACTGCAGCGTCAGGATGCCCTCTTCCGACGCAGGAAAAACGGCAATCATCACGGAATTGATGCCGGGCATGGCATACGCATGGTTGGCAATGAGCGGTGCTTGCTTTAAGTTGTGCTGCAGCTGCTGCAGTGTGGTGACGTGTGATTCTAGATTGTCCAGTATCATGTCGTCAGTCAAGCCATCATGGCTGGATAGTCCGGTTACAACTGGCCTATCAACAAAGCAACCGTCCACCGACCCAGCTTGGACTAAACCAAGGCAGGCATTCATGAAGAGATCGGCAACTGCTTTCTGAGTTGTGTCATAGACCAGCAAATCAGCATTGCCGTGTCCACCTCCCTGCAGCAGCAACCCAGACAGAATCACAAACTCACATAGAATCGCAAACTCATGGTATTCATAGGTTGCAGTAGAGCATCGATTTTTCAGAGGACCGATTATCCAGAATGACTGGGACTCTGCTTTTGTGCATGTGCATGGTAGAACTACTAGTACATGATCTAGGACGTTTTCTCAATGACGAAACTCTATCGCATGCATGTATGAGCCCTATACAGCACATGTTTCTGTGACTATCTCATTACCCGAACCTTTCCCTCATCTAAACCCCTTCTGAATGGCGTCTGCCCCTAAGGGTACGGGTAATTAATGCTCTACTGCTTGTATAGACTTGGGGAAATAAAGCGAGCTATTGGCAATACCTCTACCGTGACCTTCCCTGAACATTATTATATAAATTATATCTTATGGCCAAGAATCACTGCTGGGTCAAAGTTAGTTAGCTGAATTTTTTTGCACCAGCATGGCAATATAAAAAAACTTGAGAAGGGTAGTTAAATTGAGGTGAAGTTTCATTTCGTCTCTTCTCACTATATAGCATAATATACGAAATGTCACTCCGTAGTCTCGTACACAATGCACAAGTAGAATATTCCAGCGGTATTTTGTCAACTCCCACTGAACCTCATCTCGGCTTTCAATGAATTGGGTAAATGCTCCTACTGCACTCTGAGATCACCATCAGCCCCCAGGACTTGTATTCACTATTCTTCTCTCTGTCTCTCTCTCTCTATAATTATATCTATCTCTATCTCTCTCTCTCTCTCTCTCTCTCTCTCTCTCTCTTCCTCTATCTCTCTCTCTCTCTCTCTCTCTCTCTCTCTCTCTCTCTTCCTCTCTCTCTCTCTCTCTCTCTCTCTCTCTCTCTCTCTCTCTCCTCTCTCCTCCTCTCTCTCTCTCTCTCTCTCTCTCTCTCTCTCTCTCTCTCTCTCTCTCTCTCTCTCTCTCTCTCTCTCTCTCTCTCTCTCTCTCTCTCTCTCTCTCTCTCTCTCTCTCTCTCTCTCTCTCTCTCTCTCTCTCTCTCTCTCTCTCTCTCTCCCTCTCTCCCTCTCTCCCTCTCCCTCTCCCTCTCCCTCTCCCTCTCCCTCTCTCTCTCTCTCTCTCTCTCTCTCTCTCTCTCTCTCTCTCTCTCTCTCTCTCTCTCTCTCTCTCTCTCTCTCTCTCTCTTCTATTGGCGCGCCTGGTTGTGATGAAGCCGAGACCCAAGGTCGGCAGAGCATCCCAGACCACGCCACCACTCCCCTTATTCATGGCTCACACATGACGGGTTTACGTGGCTCTAGTAAAAAAATTCAACAAAACTCACCTTTACTCGCAAGACATTGCCGTGTTGGTCATGAAGCCACCAGCTCTCGTTCTTGGCAAAGTTCTCGTGCAGTCGATACTGTGGAAAGTCCAACACGATGTTGTAGTAGAAGATTCCTGTGATGTTTGGGTTGATCTTTTTCACAGATTTCAACGTATCCACAATGCGATCTTCCTCACAGCACACCCATTTCTCAGCAGGATAATGATATCCACTGTTGGGACCTTGATACTTCTCAATTGTGACAATAGGAAACTTGGCCATGATCTGCAATGCCTGGTCGTTGAATGGTCCAGTTGTGTTCGATGTATGAATGAACACAGGAACGTGGTCCCAGCTGAACTGAACATTGGGTGGAGGTGCATTAGGCAGAGCAGCAGCTGGTGGAGATTTGCAGTTCACGCCGCTTACTACGGGCAAATCCACGCCTGGCTCGTATAAATACTCCGGATTCCAGTATTCATCCGTACGTCCGAAGCACGTCTTTGTCAGACCTTTGGAGTACGAATAATACGTCCAAGAGTGACAGGGTTCACTGCTGTTCGCACACGCCTCTTGGCAATCCTGCCAAGTGTCCTTCTCCCCCAAAGAAACAATTCTCTTGCTCTCGGCCTTTTGGAGCGGGTAAAGATTGTCACCGCTAAACACAACCTCGTCAAAACAACCAGCCGTAATTCTTGACTTACCAAACAACCAAACACCACACAGACAAGCAGAAGTACTCCAGCAGGGAATCGGGTACACATGCTCGCCCTCTTACAAGCCAAATGAAAACTCATCGTTTCTGGAGTGAGTAACTAAAGTTACTTCGTGTGCGTGGGACCGACTGATCAACAACCACGACAGTAGAGCTACAGAACATGTTCAGGAAAGGAGGATACTGATTGTGATTGTGTATTGCCAGATCCGAAGACTGAGTAAAGGTAGAGTCCACTTCTACCGCCGCAGTACCGGTAGTTCAGTCGTGGCCGGCCGACCCGCGAGTCAAAAGCAGCGCCGCATTTCTTTTTCAACTGCATCATACACCATGATATCGATACACGGTCAACAATCCATCCGAGGGCCGCAGGTAAGGAGCCGCATGAGCATTGGCGCTGCCTTTGGCTCACTCATACTCATACACGAGTCATAGTGACCCGGGGCTAGTGGGGTTGCTCTGGTGAACCGGAACATGTTTTTTCCAATCTTCCTCAGTTTCAGGCTGATCGCTGTCTGAGTGAAGGTGCGACGACCAGCAACAGCAAAATAATTTTCTGCCTTCGAGCTGATGAATGAAACTCTGCGCTACCATAACCAGACAGGGAGTGCAGTCTTCACTACTTCAGACCCTACCTTCAAAATGACAAAATGACTGTCTGGCAGTACTAGAGGTGTCATTTATCACATTATTTATCACCTTATTTATCACGGTCTACAACCAACTGACTGTCTGACAACGCTGAGATGGTAGAGATGCCTTGGTCTTCATTCTTCATTCAGCGAATCTCCAGATCAGACATTAGGGAAGAACATACAGGCACAGTCCAATCACCACTCTTTCACCAAGCCCGAGCACAACTACAAATGTCCCACAGCATGTTCATTTCTGAGCCAGGTCAGAGGTTTGTATCAGTACTGTTGCCAGATTCCACACATTGAAAAAACCAAGGTTATCTGGCAAGCCAGGGTCACCTGTTCTTGTCAAAGAACTGCCCAAAACACCAATTTAAAAATGTAACGAGAATGAACAAGACTGGAGCAGCAGTGCACGCACTCAAATTGATTATAGCCGCGAGACAATTTCATAGCAGAAAAGCTTGGGGTAAATTTATCAGGAGCATTAATTTTATAGTACTAGTAGATAAGATCATCAGCATATTGCTTCATCTCTGGGGATTTTGCCCAGTCAATCGTACCCTTGTTGGTGGAGCAGTCAAAATGGACAGTGGTGCCACTGGCAAATTTTCGTGTGTAGACACTTTTCGTCTTCGAAGGTCGGCCGAGAGGGGCACCAAGTGGCTTGTCATAGGAGGCTTTCCACTGGGAGTCTATACTCGTACTAGTGAACCATGGCCCACAGCCGAAGTAGGAGTAGTTTCCAGCTCCGATAAGAAAGGCGGCAAGATGATCTTGTATGCCCTCGTCTGTTGTGCAATCACCACCAGCCATGTGTGCTTCTACAAGCTTACCACGGTCGGCAGTCCATTGAAGGAGCATGATGTTCTCCTCTGTAGGTTTGAAGCCCTCGATCATTGCAGCGTTGACGCCCGGCATGCCGTATGCATGGTTGGCAATGAGCGGGCCGCGTTTCAGCTGCTCCTGGAACGCCTGAAGCGTGGTGACGTGTGACGCCATCAGATTCACGCTCATGTCAGTAGTCATGTTCTGGTGAGGCAGTCCGTCAACGGGTCGGTCGATGAAACACCCATCCACCGCTCCGCTGGGGACAAGGTCGAGGCAGGCGTGCATGAAGAGTTCCGAGACGGCTTCCTGCGTCGTATCATACACTAGCAGGTCTTGAGTGTTGTGCCCATCGCCCTACATGAAGCAATGCCAGAACAAGAAACAATGGGATTTGGGCCAGCTACAAAACTTGACCTTGACCTGCAATTGTACACTGCTTACAGTCAAATTACACCACCATATCCCCCCCCCCCCTCCCCAGTATTTCTGGTATGCTGGCCAAGGATAATGAATGCCTATCCAGTTATGGGTACTTTGCCTATCCAGTTATGGGTACTTGACGTGCACTGATCAATGACTGATCTCCCGTTTACAAAGCAATAAACAGGTTCAGCTTGAAAGGTGCTGAAGACCTCACTCACCCCAACTTTGACGACATTGCCAAATTGATCATGAAGCCACCAGCTCTCGTTCTTGGCAAAGTTCTCGTGCAATCGATACTGTGGAAAGTCCAGAACCATGTTGTAGTAGAAGATTCCTGTGATGTTTGGATTGATCTTTTTCACAGATTTCAACGTATCCACAATGCGATCTTCCTCACAGCACACCCATTTCTCAGCAGGATAATGATATCCACTGTTGGGACCTTGATACTTCTCAATTGTGACAATAGGAAATTTGGCCATGATCTGTAATGCCTGTTCGTTGAATGGCCCAGTTGTGTTCGATGTATGAATGAACACAGGAACGTGGTCCCAGCTGAACTGAACATTGGGTGGCGGTGCATTAGGCAGAGCAGTAGCTGGTGGAGATTTACAATTCACGCCACTTGCCACGGTCAGCAGCTTCTGATCATGAACGAACTGCGGATTCCAGTAGTCATCCGTGCGCAAGTAGCAGTTGTTCGCTAGACCCTGGGTGGCATTCTCGAAGAAGAGTGTCCACGAATGGCATGCCGTGGTGCCGTTGACACAAGCACTCTGACATTGCTTCCACGTTTCTGTCTTTCCCGGGACTAGCACAATTCTCTTTCCGTCGGGCTGGTTGCTTGGATAAAGATTATCCCCGCTGATAACGAATTCGTCGAAACACATACCGCGTGCACCAATAGAATCAGTCAACAGCATTAGCAAAGGTAGCAATGCTATTGTCTGGATACATCTCGAGTTTGAGATGGTCATGACTGCTGCTGAGACTGAGGTTGCAGTTGCCAAAGGAGGGAGGGGGGCGTGATTCACTCAGAGCGAGAGAGGGAGATAAGTCAAAGACTTGAAAGAGAAGGCAGTTCCTCGAGCGTGCCCTTGCAGCCTTGGACCTTGGTCTACGTCGATTGCCAGCCGCTAGAAAGTAGTGAAGTCCAGAAAAGTGTCAACCTTTCTTTTACCCCAACCAAAAATAATGATTATTTCGAAGGACCGACCAGTACTAGTAAGTACTACACGGTGCATCGGTGACTTGTGCAAGTTGTGGCGTGCACGTCGCGTCGCCATGGCTTTTTTAGGATCCGTGCCGCCCCTTATTTACTACGACATAAATAGCTCATTATCCACATGTCCGTTGCGTCTCTGTGTTTTTCACTGTTTTTATTTGACATTATCTTTCTTTACGGAGTTGTTGTTGCTGTTCATTTTGCTACTCTTTCTTTTTCCCTCCCCTTATTTTTATTTAACGCCGTGGTTGGCAATCACCCGGTGTTTCCACCGAGTCTTGACTCGACGACTTGAGATATTGTAATAAAATATACAATCATGTATTATAAATAATAGAATGAGCCGTACGTCATCGCGTGACCAAACTTTTCTGTGTAGCGCGCGGAGAAAGTCCTCGAACCCAGTCGGCCAGATCCTGGAATCCCTACTACTAGTACTAGTACTACTAGTAGTACTACATTCAATAGACCAATCTGCAATCACTGTCTGGGTTCGAAAGGGGGCATGTCACCTGAGAGTACACTGTACAACACATACATGGCACTACCTGATCAGCATGCGGCACAAGACGTGTTTGATAGTTCGCGTGTGAATGCGAGGGTAAGTACACGGTTTTCTCGTTAGTTGCATGCAAAAGAGACGATGCGACAGACAGCAAAGCCCTTTGTAGTTTTCTCTCTCGCACTGGTGGGTCTGCTGTTGGAGTTGAAATGCTAAGACATAATCCTTGTTTCGCTCTTCTGGGTAGTGTGAAGAGGTCAACGAACATGTAGAGCTCACTTTGATGAAGTAGGCAAGGCTGTGAGCGCTGTGGCTCAAAGCGATAGGCCCTAAATCTTACGAGATATTTCGAGTGCTATTGCCTGTTGCGAGCGCTTCGTTTTCGATGAGTCCTGCCTCTTTCCTGGCCGCTGCCCTCCTATAGGATCAACCACGAAGTGACTGTACTCATCTGCAGCCGATCAATGTTATATTACACAAGAAGATATCGTTTTCGCCAAGCCAGTGCCCCACCAAAGACCATCGCCGTGTCACACCGTCGGAACGAGTTCATGATGAGAAACATCATTCGCGCGTGATGAAGAACTATTTCGAAAGACAACAATCATAGTCTTTACCCCCGGGACGACAACTATGCGCACGTCCTGCAAGGGGAGAATGTCACCAGCGACATCAACGAAGACGACGGCAGTATTTCGGAAACCTGGAGTCAACAGAGGTCGTCAAGCTCCTCCGGCTCCAGCTCCGCGACCCGGTACATGTACAGTATAGGTGACATGTCGACACGAGCGTGCGGAAACACTGCATACACTGTAGTAATGTTGCGAGAGTTTGCGGAAGGAGTCCAAGTCGGGAAATCCATCAGCTCCAAAAGCTACCTGTAGGTGGGCGATGAGACTCCAGCTTCAGACTACAACAGTCAGGACTTGTAAATAGTTGAACTTTGTGAAGCAGCAGATCGAGAAGTTAGCTGAAATCGTAGCTGTTGCAGTATGTCGGTGCTATGTAGCTTGCATTTTTTACGGAGAGTCGATCGCCACGCGAATGTTTCTCTCCTCACCGAGAGCTAGCTGGCCTCCAAACTCCGTCAGGGTCTGCCTAAGGTACCGAAGGTCCTTTGACTAGCTGCTGGCAGGACTCCATCAAATCCTTTCGCTTCAGCTCGGCGAGCAAAAGTCTCTCTCTCCTCCGCCATGAGCTGACACACACACACTGAATACAAAACGATGCACTTCACACATTCTGGCTTGCACGCGTGCCCCCTTTCACGAACCCAGACAATCTTTTCGGGATTGGTCTATTCTTTGACTATTGTTAGATTGACAGCATGAAACAAGGTGGAGGACACTGTGTTCGGAAACAGTGACCTTACTACAACCTTCCGCGGTTGGCAGAGCCCCGGTCCCTGCGGACCATTTGAACCAGGGAGTAGTAAAATTGTATTTTACTACTCCCTGATTTGAACCATATGGGTATCGCACCCGGTTCTGACCCTCATTATGCTAGGGTGTTAGCATGGTTAGGGCTCTGCCAACCGCGGAAGGTTGTAGTAAGGTCACTGTTTCCGAACACAGTGTCCTCCACCTTGTTTCATGCTGTCAATCTCGTGAACTCATAACAAGGTTTATCTAATACTGGTTTTTAACCAGTCACGGTTAGGTTATATCATAGTACAGTAGTACTACATTGTACTAGTACACATGTGTGTAGTAGTACCTTTTCTACCTGGACGCCTCCTTGCTTGGTTTCCCTTTTCAGAAGGTTTTCTCTCTAGTCTAGCTCCTCTCTTGTACCTTCAGTTCATGGCTTCAGTACTCGCAGGAGTGTGACTACTCTTGCTACTTGTACATGACATTGTAGTAGTACTTGAACTACTGTAGCGGACATGGAAATCCAGTCAAGTGACTGGGGTTGGCGCCCTCAGCGCGTACAGAACGCTGCGTGCGGTGCACAAAGTCAATCATGTTGATCCGATGCGACCACCGGGCTGCAGCGCATAAATGTATGTGTGTAAGTGTCGCTTGGCCACGGCGGCAGCGCCCTGGGGCCGCTAGACGTGTGGCCGGATTTCCATGTCCACAACAGTATATGTATAGTAGCAGTATCATACCTGCGCAGTCAGTTTTATTAGACGCTCTGGACGACACACTGATGATACTGCTAGACCGTCAGTAGGAGTACAGGACAATTTTCTTGACAGAAGAAGAGAAGGTGAACTCCGAAGGAACCTCTTGTTGCTGTTTTGGAATGAACATGGTGGGCCGCACAGCGCAACGATGGTGGTCGTGAAGTGAACGCAGAATTTTCAACGTCCGCGTGCTGTTATGTTGCTTATCAAGTAAGGTCTTGTTTACGTGATATCGTAAGTAAACACATTTCGCGGTTCGCGTGAGACTTGGCCAAAGGCCGAGTTTTCCCGCTTCTGCAGAAACCGTTAAAGGGGAAGTTAAGGCTAAAATCAAACTTTCACCAGTTGTAGTCTTCGGGGTGCTGAGTCAAATGGTCGTGGTCCGAGGAAGCTGAGACGCTCCCTTCCTACTTTAAAGTTTAAGGGGGCAGCCTGGTCGTAAAATCCCTGAAAATCGAATTTGTAAATTCATATCGAGTGCTACATCAGTTGAAAGAGTATGAACCAGGGAGTCGTCAAATAATTGACGACTCCCTGGTATGAACAGCTGCAAAATCTCTGAAAATTTGGTCTCGATCTGACCCGCCGTTCAAGAGTTATGGCCGAAAATGTGCCCTTGCAAGGAAAGATTTTTTTGTTGCACGCTGTCATTTTTTGGCAGCACTGTATTAATTTTGAATGTGAGCATACCGTGAGCAACTTGTCGTATCATGGAAACACGTGAAAGTGTGAAGAATTTTGCTCCAAGTCAAAAAAATCACGTTTTTGAGCCACATATTAGGCTGCACGGCAGGCTTCGCCCGTGCAGCAGGCAGGACTTTTGCCAGCACCCTCGTGACGTTGCAGATATGTGGCTTGATTATTGTAGTTGACGTTGATTTAGTGACTTGGCAAGTTTGAGTCGTGTCAAGAAGTCAGGTAGGATTCAGTACTACATTGTAGGCAGTAGTGGAACGTGAGTGGTAGTCTTTGCCGATTTTTGAGGGTATCCTGGATTCGGTTAGCAGCGCTGTGGAAATGGCTTGCTGTGGAGGTCCCAGCACTGGATGTTGTATCAAAGGTACGACCTCGTAGCACACCCTAAACCTAAAAAAATTCAAATTTTGACTTGCGTCTGTGGGAGTCTGTGAGAGTTCTTGTGCAAAAACCACCAAAAAAGGAGCAGAAATAGCGGAAGTGCAGCAACAGCAAACTCGTACACCCCTTCCTGCTGTGAACCACCACCGTTTACACAATGCCAGTAGCCTGTTGCATATATCCTATAATCATTCCAGTGCACGGAAAAGGGAATGCACATTATCGTAACTACTGTTTAACTACTGATCCTCTGAAATGAATCTGAAGGCAGGCGAGAAATGAGGGAGTATGCATTCAAGTTGTCCGACTTGTAGTCCGTGACTTGACCTTTTGACTCCATGCCATGGGGCCAAGGTTGCGGAAAAGTTGGGAAACAGTTCGCGAAAAAGAAGAACGTTGCGAAAGTTGCAATTTCTTCCTAAAACAACGAAAAGTTGCAAAAAAAGGGGTGAGCATTTTTGGGAAAGGGCTATCCACCACCCTCTATCGTCATGATCATGCTATTGTAAGTAGCTGGTGTAATATCCCTGCCTTGCTTGACCTGCTTATACTGAACTGTTGCTGACTACGACATCAGCTGGTGGAACCAACTACGAAGAAAACAAGACTGTACATGTGACATGATTAGAGGTAAAAATAGAAAATATATTATAATAATTATAATACTCAATCTGCAGACAGAACTGAATATAATATCATTCTATTATTCTATTTTTTTTACATCTTATCATGTCACACGTACACGTGTTGTCTTCGTAGTTGGTTCCACCAGCTAACCTCCAGGTGTATACCGTGTGGAGTAAGCTCACCGCTTGCCTTCACTCAGGGGCGTCGCACACGGTACGGTCACTACGGTATTGACGGTCCAAGGATGAATTTACCCTGTATCGTGGCATCGCAGTTTGCGATGCAAAATCGATCTACTGCTACTCAAAACTGAGTCACCGTGATTCGCAGAAAACTGCGATACATACAGACTATCCATGCCTAGCCTGCGCTGTCAAGTAGCATGCATACAGTGTGTGTACTTCTTTCAAGTATGTGGTGTAGGCACTGTCAATTTGCGTGCACATTTATGATTCAGTCGTTTTTTTTGCAAATGGGCTTTCAGGCATCACTCTCAAGAAGGACAATGTGGTAAACACCCAACCTTTAAAGGAAAATGCTAATCAAAATCAAAGACTGCTACACAATTGTGATATTGTATAGAAACCGTGCTA